TGTTGGATGGATTGCGATCAATTGTTCTACAGACATTCGTGGTCCCGATAGGAAGAATCCTAATGACTTTAATGATCCTTTGACTTCTCATCTGAGTTTTTACTAAACCAGCTCAACATCTACAGATCAATAGGCACAAAATGTGATGCCAATAAAGATAAACGCCTTCACAGTGACCTCCAAACCACAAATGTATAAATAGCCGTGAATCTGCATGTGATGAAGGTACAGCATAACTACACTACTAACAAAATATGGCACACATAATGAGTTGTATCAACTTTGTTGATCCCTTAATTTCATTTAGTGCTAACATCTGGTCATGGCTATATTTGTTTAGGAAGCTTTCCATGCTAAACATCAGCATGCAGTTCTGTCATTGTGAGCCTGTTAGCATGCTGATGCGAGCATGTTATTTTTGTATTTATTTACCAAGGACAGTGCCCATTAATCAACATTTTAGTTTCCACCTCAATGTAAATGTGCCAGAGTTAGCTAGAGAGCTAATTTTCATCTGTAGTCCCTGGGCAGGTTATTACAAGTTAGTGGCTCAATTTATTATCAGTACAATTCAACAGCAAATACTATAGTACAATACTGTACAGCAGTGATGTCGAGATGAAGCTTCATGAAGCAGTGAAGCTTTCCATCCAATTGGTTCCCTCATGGGCCGAAGCTTCATCGTGCTTCATCTGCTCTACTGCGCCATCAAGTGGACAATAAATGTAAAACAGGCAGAGTGATTATAATGACACCATGGCTTTGGTGTGTGAAGCTTTGAATTGAATAAATTAATGAATGATGTTTGTGATGCACGAATAGGTTGCAAACAAACGTGCAATAAAGTCCCAAGTCCACCCAATGTGAGGGGGGATCCATTGCGTTTCGCTGCCCCTTATATTTCTAACCATTTCCTGAATAGTCACGTGGTACGGCTGCCTCGCGAGGCTTCGAACGTCACCACATACGTCATCAACAACAAGCCTCGATACGCGCTTCACAAAAATCTTCTTGATTACGCGACACACGCTTGGAAGCCTCAACACGGAAGGAACCATCACTACTGTACAGCATAACACATAAATGCATTACAAATACATTAATTTAGCTAAATTAATTTTGTTGAAAGCACCACTTTCCCTAAGATCAACCTTGTAGAGCTGCCAGCATGGCTGTAGACTCCTAGTCTTGTTCTTCAGATATATACAGATAAAATACCATTTATTACTTGGGTTTATGTTTGTCTTACTTTACATATTCCTGAAAACATCCCTTTCCTCTGTTAAAATACATTGTTTTTCTCCAAAATTGTGCTGCCGTCCTAAGTGCCAAGTGGCAATTTATGACATTTTTCACTTCATGGAGTTTATCTGACAACCGTTGTGGATTTTCAGACAAATTTTAAATTTCTGTTGGTGTCCCAGTGTTTTTTTTTTTTTTTTTTAATCCGTCAATGAACAGTCTAGATCACATGATCCTTACTGACCACCCAGTTCTTCCTTTGCATCCAAGCAACCTTAGAGTTGCTGCTGTATGATATTGCCTCGTAAACATCCAGCCAACACCTGGTGTTGAGAACAGCAAAAGGAAATGTTTTGAAGACAAAGGTCTAAAGAGTACATCTACCTCCCCAGACAGTGAGAAACATAAATCACTGTAAGCACAAACTAGGAGTAGCCCATTACGCCTTGAGTTCAGGGCCTCTCCAACTGGTCAACAAAAATAGACACCCACATGGCATGATCTGACTATTCAATAAGCGCTTGTTAAAGTTGGTGTTTGGCTCTAAATTGAGAACTCTAGTAGTAGGGCTTTGACTTTTATCAGAATTGGTTCATCTGATGGTGATTAAAAACAGTTGAGATAATTTGTCAATCTGACCTTTTCTCTCTGTAATACACTGCGACTTTGCGTTTCTGACATCACATTTGTAGTGACATTTCAGATTTGTCTACAAAAACTAAACTCAAGTCTTGTGTTTGTTGTAAAATACATTTTGAAGAGAGAGTGTTTTTTTTTAATTATTCCTTTGACCAAAGTGTTTGCTGCCAAGCATGAACCTTCATTTAGCATACGTCTCCATCTGACTCAGGCTGCAGGGCCGTCTACGTCCTGTTATTTCAGGATTCACTTGTGGGCGAGAAGTAGGAACTGTCAGCTTTGGTTTGTAAATTTAGAAACTGAGGAGACCATTGCCTGTCACAGCCACACACACACACACACACACACACAGGACATATACTCTTAACAGCTCTTAATTTCTGCCATCCATACAGTCCCTTCTTCATCTCATGATCAGGACATTTAGCCTTTGTTTGCATTAATTAATTCTCCATTATTTTCCAGAAATGTATATAAAATTTATTATTTTATTATTATTATTTCCACAATACATGCAATGAATTTATTGTACCAATGGAATGAGAGGTCAGAAAGATGAGAGAAAATGCTCAAAGTTATCTTTTGCAGCATTTAATTAATTAATTAATCTTATTCTCGCTCTCTCACACTCACTCTCTCTCTAATAAAACCCATAATGCATTAGTTAGGTCAGATAACATTGTTTCTCTATTGTTTGTGCTCTCAGATTAGGTGTTTGTGTTGACAGTATTTCATGCCTGGTTTGGAAGGAGGGCATCACAATGTTTTTTACAATTCTTCACAGGGTTTTCTTTTTGCCATAATCCACTGTATGTAGGGTTTTCTATCATTTCCAGTAGGCAGCCATGATTCAGGACCTTCATACTATATATCACACTGTGTTTCCATTAGTCCACTTGAACTCTGGAGTGGGCAGATTCGACGGTCTGGACCTAGGCCACCATATAGCAGTCTTGCATCAATATCTCTCAAATCTCCTTTCTGCCACTTAGTGGCTCATGAAATTTGTTTCGAGAAGAGTGATAAGAATAACAAACTTGATGATTTTCTTAGTGACCTATAAGCTGGGGGAAAAAAAAACTGTCCACCAGGTGCATAGTAACCAACAAACAGTATTCACTGTGACAAAGAAACTTTTCCTCCATTAAAGTAAATACAAACCCTGTAAAATCTAAGGTTATGCAGGATTTCTTCCTTGCTTACTGATTACAATGCTGCTCAGTACTGCCACTGGTGGCTGGAAACTTCCTAAAGAAGACTGTGATATTGTAACATAGCATCTGGCCACCTGTGTCAGCACTGAACAACTCAGTGGTGGGCCGTCAGGGCCAGCAAGGTCTTCTCTGCTGACCAAAACAGAATCACAAAGTTATAGCTATTTTATAATTTAATAATTTTTCTTAAATACACCATGTATTATAATTTATCTTATTTTCTCACTGCACAGCTACTGTCTTCCTCAGTTGTTCTGCTTCCAGTGCAGCTTGATTTAAGTAGAGCTTTTATCCAATCAGATTTCACCTCTGTGTCTCTAGGTAAGAAGAGAGGCCCCAGGCCTGCAGACTCTCAAGTGAATCCCTTTGCAGTTTAAGTGAATGGGGACGATATTGTTGATTGTCATAGTGTTCAACCAATCAGATCTTTAGTTTGACATGTTGGGTGTATTCTTTGATGTGCCAGAGCCTGCTAGCTGGCCTACAAGTACGTTAGCAATAACGGGCAGCTCAGTTTTAAGGTGCAGCTCTGCAGTGAGGTGCAGCGTGCACTGTGATTGGTTAGTGGGCGAGCACGTGACTATTGTGAAACAAAACTTAGTCAGAGTAGTAAGAGTTCAAATTGAAAGATATGGAAGAAATTATGACATTTTTTGCATGTTACTTGGTGTAGATTATACATTTTTTTACCTAGCTTAGTTTTTTTGACACTCAATGGCTGAAGGAGGAGGAGAAACGGATTTGTGAGTTGGGATTTAACCGTGGGATTAAACTCTTTGTCACCAAAGAAAGGAGGATGGAGTTTGTCTTTAAGTCAACTGCGTTTGTTCTTTTACATCTAATATCTGAATGGCCCTCGAGTGTGTAGCAGAATGCGTGTTCCGCTGCAGGTCTGCTGGATTGATTTATTGCTTTGTTGTCATATGTGACTGGTTCTTGTGAGTTTGTTCTTGTCATTGTGTTAATTATATTGATTCTGACTGTATGCATTGTCCGTTAATTACGACGCATACCGTCATGCGCGGAGTTATTGCCCGGACAATTGAATCTGTTTGGGATGTTTTCTTTTACAAAGCAAGCATGATGGTATGATGGTCTGGAGAAATGGGGATTGTGTGGTGATTGCTTTAGCCCTGTTTGAATCAGTAGGGAACAGCTAAACGCTGCGGGGAGAGTTTGTAGCTTGTTTGCTGCCGTTGTTTTCCCATTAAGCTAGTATTGCGTAGCCTCCCAGAACACACGTGCGGTGCCTCAGCTGTGTTTTGGTTTGTTTTTTTTTGTTCCGGGTTCAGAGGTCACACAGCCCGTTGTCTCCTACGTGAGCGCAGTTCACCGAAAACATTATATTTTCCACAATTTAAGCTTCTGCATTTTCCAAATGCACTAGTATTATTCAAACGTATTGTTCGGTTCGTAAGCCTCGTACCGAACAGTTTAATACGAATACGTATATTGTTACACCCCTAGAAACAAATAACTGTAGCCGTGGCGTCATAATGAGGTTATTAGGAGGTGGAACTGTAGTAGGACAGCACTGAAGGCCCAGGTATAAAATGCACGGCCGCCACTGGAACAACTAAGCATATAACAAGACCTTTCTTACTCCATAGTAAGTCATTTTTTGTTTCTTGTCATGCACTTTACATTTTTTTCCCTTTCCATATTTTTCATCATATTGCCTACCCATTGGCCAGTTTGTATTTTCAATGTTCTTTTTTAGAATATTCTGAGCTACAGACTGAAATGTTTGATTATGAAGGTCCTGGATCATGTATGTCAATGTACACGTACCAATATCAACAGTGTAATATGCTGCAATAGGGATCTGTTTTAGAAAAGGAGGGAACCGTTTTGTTCCTCTGTCCTTTGAGTATCTAACACTTTCTATCCTTCTTGTCTCCGCAGTTCTGGATATGGCACGTCATGTGCCCTTATATCGGGCGCTGCTGGAGCTGCTTAGGGCCACTTCTACCTGCACGGCCCTGGTTCCTCTACTGCTGCCTCTCTCTGGAGACCCGGGACAGGATGAGGAGGATGAGGATGAAGAACACTCTGAGGGACAGACCTCTGTAGGGATGCTGCTGGCCAAGATGAAGACATGTGTGGACACATACACCAATCGCCTCAGGTGAGATGGTCGAAATCCACATGACTTATTGGTGGTTGATGGAATACCTTTTCTCATTTTCTAATTTGATATAATTTACAGGTATACACCTATAATCTAATCTTATGTCTGATTGAATAGTTTGATCCAGCCATAACACAACCGCTCCAGAAAAACAGACTCTAGTATCATTCACTGTCCTCCTCTCCGCAATACTGCCGATCTGGGAATCTTTCCATCTACAGCCATGGTCACAATTGGCAATAAAATGCGATGTGATGTGAATGCACCCCAAGAGGCATCAAGGACACATTGATATTCAGTCACTGAGCTTCTTTTGGAGGTGGTCAGAGAATGTCCAGAAAAGTGTTCTGCGTGTTATTATAACAGCAAAAGGTTTTAGTCTCACTTTAACAATCCAATATCCCGAAGAAAAAAACCATTGCTTTTGCTCTGCTGTATCTTATGCACATTCTACATACCTAAGCTAAGAAACGTGAGCACACCATCTCTAGATGGGTGAGCCCTCATGGCAACATGCCGTACTCAGGCTTACAAACGATGTCAAAAAAGCCTGATTATTATGATGTCCTTTTCAGGAAATGCCTGTCATGAATGTGGCAGCATGGTTCATTAAGGTACTGCTGGAAGAAGGCCTTGGAGTTCCTCATTAGTCAATGAGACAGCAGAGGATTACTGAAACTGTTGCACTAAATCTACTATATGATTAGCTGTTTGTAGCTACTAGCCATACATTATCTTAGCTTAATCAAAATATCAAAATGATTAAATCTGCTCCATTAACAAGTAAAGAATGATTAGCTCTGTTAAGGCCAAAAAAGAGATGTGTAATGATTTGTAGAACACATGCATTCATCTTTTTAAGGGTTATGCTCTGTTCACACCAAAGGCGGCACAAATTTTTCGCGTGAGTAGATTACATACAAAGTCAATGCAATGTGTGGATGTGAAATTCACCTCATAGTCAACTCGTCAAGGAATTCGTGTGCCGCTATGTTGCGGTAGCCTATCAGCGCTGAGATGCTCCTCCTGTCATCACTGACATCCTGCCATTGTTGAATCAGGAAAAAAATAGTGTAGCCGTAGGTGTTCACCCAGAGCTCTACGATACCTCATATTAGTAGAGACCGGACCACCTATGTATAAATGTATGTGAAAACCATATGGTACAATCAATGAAAACAACGCTGCCGTATTTACGCCTAGATGACGTTATGTTGAGTGTTGATGGAGCTGCTACAATGTTAGCTTAGCTTAGCACTGATCGATCCGAGCTCCATTGAGAAAACAAGTATTGTAAAAGTGATTTGAGTGACGTCTTGCGGAGAGAACTAACATGAATTCAGACTTTTTTACAAATCGGTATCATTATGTAGTTAATTCGGCATCCCTTTTATCATACATCCATCCATCCATTTTCCCCGCTTATCCGGGGTCGGGTTGCGGTGGCAGCAGGCCAAGCAGGCTGACCCAGACTTCCCTCTCACCGGCAACATGTTCCAGCTCATTCTGGGGGATCCCGAGGCGTTCCCAGGCCAGCTGGGAGATGTAATCTCCCCAGCGTGTTCTGGGTCTTCCCCGGGGTCTCTTCCCAGTTGGACGTGCCTGGAAAACCTCCAGTGGGAGGCGTCCAGGAGGCATCCTAATTAGATGCCCGAACCACCTCAGCTGACTCCTTTCGACGCGAAGGAGTAGCGGCTCGACTCCAAGCTTCGACTCCAAGCTCCCTCCTGATGACCGAGCTCCTTACCCTATCTCTAAGGCTGAGCCCGGCCACCCTACGGAGGAAGCTCATTTCGGCCGCTTGTAGCCGCGACCTTGTCCTTTCAGTCACGTCCCAGAGTTCGTGACCATAGGTGAGGGTAGGAACGTAGACCGAGTGGTAAATTGAGAGCTTTGCCTTCCGGCTCAGCTCCCTCTTCACCAAGATGGTCCGGTGCATCGCCTGCTTTACTGCTGCAGCCACACCGATCCGCCTGTCGATCTCCTGCTCCATCTTACCCTCACTCGTGAACAAGACCCCGAGATACTTGAACTCCTTCGCTTGAGGTAGGCACTCCGTCCCCACCTTGAGGGAGCAATCCACCGGTTTCCGGCAGAGCACCATGGCCTCTGATTTGGAGGTGCTAACTCTCATCCCCGCCGCTTCACACTCGGCTGCAAACCGCCCCAGTGAATGCTGGAGGTCATGATCCGAGGAGGCTAACAGGACCACATCATCTGCAAACAGCAGAGAGGCGATCCCGAGACCCCCGAACCTGACGTTCTCCGCCCCCAGGCTGCGCCTAGATATCCTGTCCATGAAAATCACGAACAGGACCGGTGACAAAGGGCAGCCCTGGCGGAGGCCAACACCCACCGGGAACGTGTCTGACTTATTGCCGAGAATGCGGACACAGCCCCTACTGCAGTCGTACAGAGACCGGATCGCCCGTTGTAATGGGTCCGGCACCCCGTACTCCCGCAGCACCCCCCCACAAGTACCCCCGAGGGACCCGGTCGAAAGCCTTCTCCAAGTCCACAAAGCACATGTAGACTGGTTGGGCAAACTCCCAGAACCCCTCCAATAGTCTTGCGAGGGTAAAGAGCTGGTCCACTGTTCCACGGCCGGGACGGAATCCGCATTGCTCCTCTTGAATCTGAGGTTCGACAAACGGTCGGAGCCTCCTTTCCAGCACCCTGGCATAAGCCTTCCCCGGGAGGCTGAGTAGTGTGATACCCCGGTAATTCGAGCACACTCTCCGGTCCCCCTTTTTGAAGATGGGAACCACCACCCCGGTCTGCCAGTCCATGGGCACTGATCGCGACCCCCATGCGACATTGAAGAGGCGTGTCAGCCAGGACAGCCCAACCATGTCCATCGCTTTCAGCATCTCAGGGCGGATCTCATCCACCCCCGGCGCCTTGCCACCAAGGAGCTTTTTAACTACCTCAGCGGCCTCTGCCAGGGATATGGGTGAGCCTCCCCCTAGATCTTCAGGCGCTGCCTCCTCTGCAGAGGACATGTTTTTCGGGTTTAGGAGTTCCTCAATGTGCTCTTTCCACCGCCTGAGTATCCCCACTCCCGCCAGGCGCCTCTCACCCTTTTATCAATTTATTGCAGATAAATCACAGCTAAATCAAGTGTATTTTGAGTTCATACTGCTGTAGTAAACAGCCGACATGTGGCTTGCTAGACACAGTCAATACGCCTCGATGAAATCCACAGAGCTCCTCCGGACTACGTTATAAACCAGACAAAGATGGCTTTTAGTTTACTGGGGATATGTGAGACGTGTATGACGCGAATAAACAAATGATACCGCGAGTAAACTCCTGCTAGTTTAGTGTGAACACAGCAATAGGGTGACTGGAGTAACAACAGGTGTCTCAGTTATATAGTCAGTCACATCCCAGGTTTATATGCAAACAGAGGAATGCTGAGGTTTAGGAAACCTTAAACACACAGTTGTACTCGATCTCACAATCACACGCAAAAGATTTAATGGAGGAGGAGCCTGAGGGCAAATGGTCAATCGGGGAGACTAATCATTGGGCTTGTCACTCAAATCCAAAAAACAGTCAGGACAGATCAGTACCAGGAGGGTGGGGGCCAGATGAGGGGCAGACACTAAGTGTGATACCAACCTCCCCAACAGAGATGGGGTGTCAAAAAAAACATAATTAATAGCTCATCTTACTCTGTGAAAGATGTCTTGACAAAAATAATCTGCCGTGTCATTAGTCATAAACATGTGTGAATCTTTTGCCTCCTCCTGCCTCATTGATAACTTTCACAGTTAGTTCTGTGATGTTGACCCACAGGAGCAACTGAACATATGGCGATGCAAAAGTTCAGTGGACCTGGAACCACTTTGACTCTCACCCTTGTGTCGGGAGCATTATACCAAATGAACATGCCATGTAATCACCAAAGAATACTTTGATGTTTTTGGAGAACTGAGGGGAAATAATTCGCTTTACTTTTTAAATAACTCCCACTAAATTGGATCTCTGAAATCCAAGTTGTCAAACATCACCCTATTATATTTTGGCTGATGGTATATTTGTGTGTGTGTTTCAGGTCAAAGAAAGATAAAAGCAAAGGTGTGGTGAAGCCAGATAGCTCCGATCCAGAGCCTGAGGGTTTGACTCTGCTGGTGCCCGATATCCAGAGGACAGCTGAGATAGTCTATGCTGCTACCACCAGCCTACGGCAGGCCAACCAGGGTATGTATGAAACACACGCATGTGACAGTCCGACACTGTGGCAGCTGATTTCACGTTCTCTGTACCGTTTGATTTAAATCACAGCCTGAAAACTCCTGGGTAGCAGCAAAACATATTAACGTCCATACATTTGAGCTCATGGCCAACACGAACCCAAAACCACAAAGGTGTTTTCAGTTTGGGATTTGAACTTACTTGTTTTTTTATCTGTATTATTTAATCAATTCCCAGCTCTCCTGTATCCCATTTTTGTCTCACGGCCTTATCTGTTGTCTGTGTTTCCTGTCCTCTTGGTGAAAGGACAGGAAAATAGGTTTGTAGTTTTATTTGGCACGGCAGCTGGATTCTGGTGATGTCACAAGATCAGGCAACAATTGCGGTATAACATATCACACGAACATTCATCTCTTTAGACTTCAAGTGTTTGTGTCCGGTAAGCCAAAGCACGGACCAATCTGGGTCCTGTGAGGAGCTACTGGCAGCTACAGCCGTGGATGGAGAGCCGACTGTTTGTTATAGACAACAATGGCGACTCCTAAAGAGGTTAGCGTAGATACTGCAATGGCATCAGTTATATCAGAAGTGGGGATATTTCTTCATTGAAAGAAGAGCAAAGAACGATACTGGAGGATCTTCTTGATGAAAAGATGTTTTTGCTCTTCTACCGACTGGATGAAGCATCTGTCAATCAAACTCTTATTGAAGCCAATCACCTGCCAAGTACTTTTTGAAAGTGCCTGTCCTTTATCAGACCGTTTCCAATGAGGGCTTCTCAGATGGTGCTGTGCAAAAAACCAAAAGATAATTTTCATTGTCTATTTTTACTGTGAACTGCACACAAAATACAGGGCGGGACCTCAAATCTAGAAGAGACGCAGCTGACAGTAAGGCAGTGTGGCTGCTCCAACTTGTTAACATTAAAAAAACTAGAGGTTCTGCGATGCACGCGCTGCTCACGCAGGCAGTGTGGCGTAATGCCCATTTTATTAATGCAAATGTTAATGCATTGAATGCTTGTGATGAGATTATATTTGGTGGACTGCAGCAGCCTGTATTATATGGTCCAGGTTGTCAGTGGGTTCAGATGCAGCTGGTACCTGCGGTGGCAGAGTTGTGCCCCGCTGCTGCCCATTCAAAATACAGAACACAACCACAGAGGGCAGACGCAGCTGTAACCGCTGTAAACAGGAGCAGTCAGGTGGGTTGTTCTTAGCCTGATCCTGACCGCTTCACCAACCAGTGAGTCAGGAGGTCAAAGTTAAATATGGACAGCAATCTTTCAACTGTGATTGTTGTTTACAACGAATAGCTTGGCTTTGAATTTCCAGATCGTCTTCGTTTTTTTTGTCTCACAGATAAATTTGGCTAATCCCCGAGTGTGTTTACAGCCTTAAAGATACACACTGTATCTGTTTGTGTTTGAGATTGCAGCCAGTTGCTTGCTGAGATGACCTTCTGATAAATAGCCCTGTGGCAGGCTGGCTTTGCAGGATTTTCTCAAGGGAAAACATTTTGAAGCTGATGCTTCGCTTCCATAGTTACTCTCTTTTTCACTCTTGTCTTCGTGATTTTTGTTCCCACCTCCTCACCAGAGAGGAAGCTGGTGGAGTCTTCAAGGAAGGTGTCATGTCGACCTAAGCCCCTGTCCATTCTACGCTCTCTAGAGGAAAAATATGTAGCTGCCATGAAGAAGCTGCAGTTTGGTGAGTTTACATGTTTGCTTTGGGATGTATGTATGTGTGCATGCACATGCGTTTTGTAGGGGTTTTTTTTCTTAACACATTGCACATGGGTGCTCTTAATGCTGTGTAGCATCAATGCCTGTTGGTTTCACTTTGTGCACACATGTCAGCAATAACAACGCCATAAACCACCGTTCCCTAAAGACTTCCTCCTTTCCCCAAGCACACACACACACTGTTCTGTCTCCGTCTCCTGTCTGATATGATCCATAATGCCCTCATGCCAGAACTCATAAAGGACTAGGATTCCATCCTGGTCTACACTTTTGTCTTGTCCATCACTCTCCACTCAGTCATGTCATGACTTATTACAACAGTTTTGCAATTGATTTTGTAAGCAGCTTGATGTCTGAAGTAATTGGAAGTGACTGTAAACACTGATGTTTGAGTGTGCAGGCAGAATAGAGAGCTGAAGACAGAGTGAGGGCTGGACTATAACTCACTGTGACAAGACTTGGGATTGTATCATTTACACTACTGGGGATACGGGCTCGGGCAGTAATGTATTACATGGATAGGTATAACTGAATTAGGATACAAAAAAGGGCACTGTAAATTCCGTTACAGTAAAATTATTAAAAAGAAGAATAAGAATAAAACATTACCAATACATTTGGTAAAATGGGGATTGCAACGGTAGAATACATTTGAAAAGAACTATGCCGATGCACACACTACAACATTTCAGGACACAAGTTTCACACGCAGCAGCAAGGCTGTCTGTGTGGACACCATTTCATAGGAAGTACAGGACAAACTGGGTCATTTGTAGGGCTGCACCGAATAGTTCCAAGCTTCTTTCATAATATTGACATTTATACTATTGTTAATAACTCAAAGAAACATTACCTTCCACCTTCTCTTCCTGTCTTTTTTCTTCTCTGTCTCTCTCTCACAAACACACAGTGACCTACGATTTGTTATTTCTCAGTCCAAAAAGTTCAAATGTATTAAAAAACGATCTATGTAATCATTTCTAAAATTCATAATGTTTTTATCAAACAAAATATTCTGCTTCTATCCAAAGTTGTTTGCGTTTAGCAACAGTTCCACTCTGATTAAAAACACATAGGGATGCCCACACCTGGTCTAGCAGCAATCTAACAGCACCAAATTACATTTATACAACCACAATAACACAAAATCATATTTTTCCAATTTTTTTTACGTTGATGACATCATAAAATATGACAACAGACATTTGAAGCTGCATTCAAAAACCTCAACGGAAGCTTTATGTGTAAAACAAAGATACATTTTGTTCAGCCCTAGAATTAGCATAATTAACTTAATATGGGGGCTTCTGCTGCTCCAAGTTCAAATCCTTTAACACTAATGTGTCAAATGATTTGAGTCCTGGGACGATGACAGAAATTGCAAAGCTGGAACGCAGAACCTACACTGTACAATGTCGGTCCCTTCTTTCTGCTTTACATACAAAATAATGGCAACACTTTTGCATGTTTCTCTTCGCTTGGGCTATTTGGTATTGAGGTCATCCAAAACTAATCCTTTTGTAATGCAAGTCAAGTCTTGCATATGCCCCCCCCCCCCCTCGCCCCCCCCCCCCCCCCCCCCCCCCAAATAATAATAAATGTAAACATTGTAAAAGGTATTTCAGAAATCTTACCTTGTTTTAGCAAGCTGACTGTAGCACGATGGCTAGCTCCAGCATGCTTCATGTTCCTCCATTATTATTAATGAAGGAAGAACGTGTTGTCCAATGACTGAGAAAACATAATGAAACTCTCCTTTAAGAAACACATTGAAACAAAATTCAGCTTGACCTCTAGATTACAGTCATTTAGCAGAGGCTTTTATCCAAAGCGACTTACAATTCAGATTCTATCACATTCATTCACCGTAGGCACATCTACGGGAGCAATGTTTTTGGGGGTTAAGTGTCTTGCTCAAGGACACATGGACTAGAGTTGGAGTTGGGGATCGAACCGCCGATCCTCTGATTGAAGGACGTCCCCGCTCTCCACTTAGCCACAGTCGCCCCTAGATAATTCTAGAATTCAATGAAAAGAAAAGGTGGAGGATTTCTTTAAATATAACATGCTTGTGCACATGAACACCCAGTCAACTTGATGATAGTTTCATCTGACCTTTCTTTCTTGCATTATTACCTTAATTGAATTACAATGTTTCCATTTGAACATGGCCAATATGAGAGTGTTTACAGGCAGTAATGATGGGTACGTTCCACTCTGACAACGTCCTCAATCTGGTCTCCTCTCTTTCCAGACACCTTTGAAATGGTCACGGAGGACGAGGATGGAAAAGTGGTGTTTAAGGTCAACTACCACTACATGTCTCAGGTGAAGAACGCCAGCGATACAAACAGCGCAGCCCGATCCCGCCGCCTCGCCCAGGAGGCCGTCACCCTGTCCACCTCTTTGCCCCTGTCATCCTCTTCCAGTGTCTTCGTCCGCTGTGATGAGGAGAGACTGGACATCATGAAGGTAAAGTACCACCTCAACTTATTATGATATTATGAAAGTGTCATAGTATTGTTTAATGTGTATGGGGTTTGTACCCTGTGATTCAAAGAGACCACTAGTTTGAGAACTGAGTAAGACTGATAGAACACTGTGTTACTGCGTCAGGGTGTTTCTACCATACGACTTGTCATGACAGCACTTACTCACTACCCCAGTGACATTTAATAAATGGCTCTCACCCCACTAGTTGATTAATGGCAAAGTCTCCTTTGCTAAATGTCAAAATCCTCATCTGTTTGGCTCCGTTCCGGAAAAAGAACACTCTAAAGAAAGGCAGCAGCATACCAACAACACAGTCAGGAACAAAACAGATGAACACATCACTGCATACAAACATCAGTGTAAGAAAATAACAGCACTTCTATAGTGTTAGTCCTGTTGCAGGTGTGGAAGTAACTGAAATTTAAACATAAACATTTATATATGACAAAAACATCTACTGATTGATTGGCCATAAAATGTAGACAAAATCATCCTTTTTTGAACTGTCAACAAAGACCAAAGCACCAAAGGTAATCCTCTCACCACAAAGCAGAACTATCATAACGTATTTTAGACTAGCTGTGGTCACAAAGTGTGACATAATAGTAAAGATAATTGCCCACAGCCAAAAGTCCTGTCACAGCAGTGCACTGTTTAGTGCATAATGTTCATAGAAACCTACCAAAATGAACGTTCTCCCTGAGAATAGCATGCCCTACAGAGCATAAGCAGAAAGGGACTGTGGCTGATGAAGTGGAAATCTCATGATCTGTGAGGGGTCAGTGCATCACTGTACCTCACCCCTGAGTCCTTACATTAGTACCACAACAGCATTGTTGCATTTATTCAAGCCTGTCACATAGGGACAGTTTGTGTCAGTCTTGAAATGCTTTCACCTCTATTATAGATGAAGTCTTCATCATAAAAAATATCAAGGTCTAGCAACCAGACTGTGGTCGGAAGTGCAACAGAAGTGTTGGGTCTGAATGTTCATGTCAAAGTTTCAAAAATGTCTCTGTAGGAAAAACACATCCACACTGCATCCTCAAACGTAATCAGGTCCTGCAGGCGCTCCAGGCTGCAGCTGAGTAGCATTCAGCTTCCAGCAAGGCAACTTGACTTTATGTAGTTTTCTTGAAGGTCTATAATCTGATAGGCTCATTCAGTTCTGACTGAACCCACCCAGAGGAGCCCCAGGTAGCACTACTGTAGGGTTGTTATTCCACGTGGCTGTCGGTTGAGTTTTCTGAGCCCTGCACACCTATTGTTTACCCACACAGTTGATTTCACTTATTTTGGCAGATAAAGCATCATCCCAGATCTGTGTGAGTGTGTACAGACTGTTTTGACATCTCCCTGACTCTTGTTAGCTTTGTTGCACTTGCAAGGGACGCAGAAATAGACAGAGATATTACCGGTGATTTAGATTATCTATTTATATGTATATATGTATTCAGGTCCTTTAACAGCTTTAAGTGCTTGTTTCTTTGATTAATGAGCTAATCTCCTTTATTCAGGAAATAAATTGTGGATAGAACTGTTCTCTGCTAATTTCACCCTTTAGCCTTGTTGGTAATTACATTGTTGTGGCAAAGCCTGAAAGAGAGTCGGCACCTTTTCACCATGGTATTTTGCCGTCTGCCCTTTGTTTAATCCATATTTACTGTTAGCGGTGCATCCACCTTTTTTGAATTAACCCTCTTTCAGTGCGTGTGATGAATAACCCTTTCTTGGCCTGTTTTTTATTGAAACCTTCTTTGTGTTTACAGGTTCTCATCACAGGCCCAGCAGACACCCCATATGCCAACGGCTGCTTTGAGTTTGATGTGTATTTTCCGCAAGACTATCCGAACTCCCCTCCTCTGGTCAACCTGGAGACCACCGGTGGACACAGTGTGCGCTTTAACCCTAACCTCTACAATGATGGCAAAGTGAGTTGAAAAGGCTTCAAGTGTGTTAATGTTCTTTAAATCAAGTCAATGTAAACATAATGGAGGATTTGATCTTTTTTAACCTTTTTAAACCTGAGTGAACAAGTGACGCAAATTAAGTCAAAAAGCACACAGTCTTCTTCTAACTCTGTAAATGAGGGGTGCCATTTTGACCATTTGTCACTGACAGGAGAATGAATACATACTGTTCATATGCATAAATCTGCACCACCTACTCCCTTCAGTGATAGCAGCTAATGCTTTACCAACAGTTTTATTTTAGCAGCATTATGGTGTTGATTTAATAATCATTTTAAATTATCTATATCAAACCCAAGTATTTTATTATGTAGGATAAAAAAATTTAAGATTTACATTTTTCATAATTATCTCAATTTTCATAGTTGAAAGTGTTTTTTTACGGAAGACCTGAGAAGCAAGTGAGAAAAGGAGATTCTGGTGATCCAATGTCTAAGTCTGATCTGAATTGTTTGACTTAAGAACAGGTGGAAAAAACATGTTTGCCAGGATAGTCTTTCTAATGCCTTTTTTCAAATTGTATCATAAAAAGCACCTTGAAACACGTATCGTAGTGTTTGAAAGTATAGCATTTCCAAGTAGCCTAGAGTGTCCTGAAAATAACATTATGACATGTACAGCTAAAACATGTAGTCACCATAAAGGGAGTGAAGAATGACCACATTCTGCCCAGGACTGAGAGAGTAGCTCTCCACTGACTGTAGTGGGAGGTTAAGGAAAATAACCTGCCTGGTCGTCCATCAAGAACCCAATATGGTGTGGACATGTCAAACTAACAGTGTAGCTGAAGACCTTCCCTGTCAGATGTCCAGTTTTCAATTCAACTTGACATTTGGTCGTGGACATCCTGGAGGTTTTCTCCACACATGTTAGAATATGTATAGCTCTCCCTCTGTGGTCCTGGCTTACCTACCATCCAGGACTTTGGGTCAAGGTGCCTAAGCTCAACCTCATTAGGCAGCCGCTGACAGTCCACATGTTTAAGTAAGGGCCCAGAAGGCTGCTGTGATAAATATATGGGGCTAGAGTTCAGCTCACTGATGAAGGATGGATATTAAATGGAGGAAAGAGAAGGTAGATTCATATAAGAAGCTTGTCAACTGGAGCTCAACAATAGCTTAGAATTGTGTCCGTTCAGTGATTTTAAGCAGCTTCAAGGTGATTAACACGATGGCAACATTTCTCATTAGCAGACAAAGGAGTATCAATTGAAGTTGAACAGAACCATAAAGAAATTGCGTAATTTGAAAGCTTGCTATCGAGTCCAGTCCAACAATGAATGGAGCCATCCCCAAGCCTCATTTATACTCATTCTTGAATCTTTAAGTCAAATCAACTGTTTTTTTTCTGTGTTAATCAGGTATGTTTAAGTATCCTCAACACATGGCATGGGAGACCAGAGGAGAAATGGAACCCACAGACCTCAAGCTTTCTACAGGTGAGGTGATGATCCATCATGGCAGTCTCCTGTCTGAATGGATCAACAGGGCTGTTGTGTGAGTCTTTGTGTCACAGGCTGTAGTTTATCTCTGCCCTGTCATTACGCCGCCAGGGGCTCTGTATTAATGAGCTTGGTGTTTCATCAGCTGACATGAAGGATCCCTTTTAAAGCCACGTTATTACTTTGCTTTGGTGACAGTGTGTGGGTATTAATCAAACCAAACACAAAGTGGTATCATTCAAACCTTGAAGATATGCCTGCTGACACACATTACTCATCTTGAAGTCCAAATCAGATAGCTTCAATAGCATGTTTAGCCCATCTGTTTTCACGTTTTATTTGTGTTATTACTTTTCTTTAGATTGTTTATTTGGAAGACAAATATTCAATTTTGTAATTGAAATGTATCGTAGGATACACAGTTAAAAAGATGCTTCACTGAGATCCATTGTGGTAAAACTGTTGAGCTTTGAATGACTGGAGATATTTTAAGGCCGTCTTGGCAAAAGAAGGATGTGATGCTCTGCCTTTAAAACATTTGTGCACTTGCTGTGAGATATTTGTGGTTTGACACCAGAAGCCAATATTTCTGCCTGCTCTATCACCTGCATTCCTGCTGTGTATAAGCTGAGCTGTAGTAGAGCTACAGCTTTCAATAAGAATGCAATGTTTCTAATGTTATTTATGGGTGATGAAATATGTTTACTTCCCAAGCTATTTGTCAAGATAGATGATCTTTTTTTTCTCAGTCTAAGGCCTCGAGGGTCTGGTCTTCTGATTTGTGCAATAGATAACGTATAGCATTAAGGGACTACTGGGAATCCAAAGCGGTGCACAGACTTGTGGGTAAACAGACACATGATGACACACCCCCACAGCATTATTGGGTTGGTTGCCCTGTGCAATCACGCATGCCGGAAAAGCTCTCAGAAATGTATACCTCCTCTGTTTTTTTATAATTCCCTCTGTTGCAGGGGTGCAGAGTGCATAGAGATGTCTCCATTGATTATCATTCCGGTCAGCATGCTGTGGATAAATGATGGAAAATGTGGGGGGGGGGGTTGAATAGGAGACAGGGGAGTAGGCAGGGATCAAGCGGTCATCAACTGAGGTGGATATCGGCTCTGAAATCTGGCAACCCAGTTTAAAACAGACAGATTGCAACAGTTGAAGGTATCCAGTTGATGGAGCATTTTGTGTGGCTGGGGCCAGCAGGCAGGCCTCCAAGCCCGAGATCGTTATAGTTGGTAATGTAGTGGCTCAGAAGGGACAGAATGATGCAGGAGGACGTCCTTAGTCTCCTTGAGACAGGCCAAGGCATTAATCCAGCTGTTAATCCAAATATATTGAAGGATATATCGCTATCGGTCCACAATATTCCTTGCTTTTGTCAGACTCTCTTCTAAATGTCCAGCATGGCCAAGACACTAAGGAGATGTCGGCATAATTTACCAATAGATCAGGATTAAACCTAACTAGTTGGACACATTCATTGTATTAGAATGTGGTTTTAATCTCTGCACCTCTGAAACCATACCAAGCTACCTTTTATATCAGTGAAGTGTGTAGAGAGGTCTTGAAACTGTTTCTCACATGATTCTGTTTCTCCCTGACTCGATCTGCTGTAGGTGCTCGTGTCGGTGCAGTCCCTCATTCTGGTGACTGAGCCCTACTTCAATGAGCCGGGGTATGAACGCTCCCGCGGGACTCCTAGTGGCACCCAGAGCTCACGGGAATATGATGGCAACATCCGGCAGGCCACCGTCAAATGGGCCATGCTGGAGCAGATGCGCAACCCCTCACCATGCTTCAAAGAGGTAGGAATCAGTGTGGTGCAAAGAGTTTTCTTGTGTTTAAAAGGTTGTTGTGATGCTCATTAACACCCTCCAGATGCCATTATTCTGTGCTGCACTGGCATAAAAGAATGAATAATGATGAAAAGCAAGTTCGCAAATAATTTTTTAATCTACATAAACTGACTTAATCTTCAAAGATTAGAACCTCCAAAACCTAAACGGGTAACTTAAAAGTTGTTATATTTTCCATGAATTGCATACGATGTATCGTTGTAATGCCAATAGTGAAAGGGAATTCTTGAGGGACTTTCTTTACATTTGGAACAAACATCTACGTATACTAAAGGATGAACTCAAGAATTTATTTGCTAATTATGATGATTTCACTCAAATGTATAGGAATAAAATGATGAAGTGATGACATTTCGGACAGACAGATGTAATTGGAACGTGACTTTCAACCGCAAGACGGTCATTTTAGTTACACTTTTGTTTTTACAAGGTTTTTCTTTTCACCTCCACTCTGAATACAAAGTTCCAGTATGATACAGAATCATTCCCATGATGTATTAGCTAAATACCTATGTCTTTCTCGACATTGTTCCACTTATTTCAGTCCAGAAACCGAAAGAGGAATGAAAAGCAACCTGTCCTACCTGAGGGTTGCTGCGCCACACTGTCTGCCAATAAATTCCCTTCTTATTAATTCCTCGGTAGATGACGTCGTCTGGAGGTTGGCCTTTCCCTCCTCCCTCCTCCCCCCTTTCTTCCTCAGTTTTTTCATAGAATAGGATCCTTTAAAGGGTCTGTAGTGAGATGGATAGTGCCGGGGAAGATAACAATCTTTCAACCTGCTCATCCACAGCAGAAATGTCAAGTAAGAGGAACGGAGGAAGAGGAGAATGAGAGAGAGGAACGGGGGTGAACGGAGGGAGAGAAATAAAAGTGATCCAATCTCCTTGACAGGATTGCATGAGAAAAACATTGACTTAAAAAAACATGGAAATATGCATATGTTTGCGAAGGGACATTTTGAGGCTTGGATTTGGGTTTACTGCTTTTTTTGTGAAAAGAGTTATTAAAGCAATCCCAATCCAAATGGCCTGAACGATTTGAGGAAAATATTTAATTGTTATTTATTATTTTTTGATCTGTATGTAAATTGCTTTCTATAAATTAATCTCTCGAATGAGGCGGGGCGGGGGGGGGGGGTCTTTATCCAGGGACGGATGATGTCTGTAAAGATTGTGAAGCCCTCTGAGGCAAGTTACAGTTGCATTGTGGACGATTTTGAGTATTTGTGGGATACATTATTCTCTTCATGTATCTTCAGCCAGTGCTGTTTGTATTTCTGTGGGGTTTGAAGGTGAAATATTATAAATCTGGCCTTTGCACAGCAGGCAATGGGTCCATGACATCACCCAGCCAGTCTGTGAAATGGGCCGTTGGACCGAGGGATATTAAGGGGAACATGGCAATGCCACCCGGCTGAGCAATCTCACACATACGCACACAGAAATTCAATTAAGCTTGGTGAGATACCCCCATGTGCTTTTCTCACCCCTGGCCTTTTAGCACTTTTAAGTCTGAGCTGAGCTGAGCCAAACATGGACTAAGAGAGGAAGACAAAGCAGCCATGAGCTATGGCTGCTTTGGCTGACCATTTAGACATGTAGATAGCCATTTAGACATGTAGAATTCTATTTAATTCAAGTCAAGGCTGTGGCTCTAATTTCATTCCTACATTTTCTCAAATGCTTTTGCTTGATGTTTCTATAAATGAAACCACAAGGAGGTGAATCCCTCTTAAGAGGGCCATGTAGTCTGGTAGTGTGACATGAATCCAGAGCAGTGTAGGACGTGTTATGGAAGCAATGTCTAGTCAAATCAGAGTGCTAGTGTAAAAAATGACTAACATGATGTTGTTGTATCGTATGATTTACAGAGTGAAGTGTATGTCTGCAAGATACGCAGCTTTGTCTCGTTTGTTTTTGGAATCAATTCTCAGTGTTATTACTTCAGCAGTCATTTTGATAGTTATATCATTACATTAACACTACTCATGACATTTTTGGAAATGATATCAGATATTTTAACATCTGTAATCCCCTCAAGGAGTGCTAGGTGCTCTGGTAAATTCTCTACGGAAGGCAAGAGAAGATAATAGAAGTAATCGGACTGAATTGCCATTTAACTTCACTTCAGTCAGTAGAAAGTAATGATGGAGGAGTTAACTCAACTTTTTTCATGACAATCAAGGTTTTTTCTCTTCGATTTACAACCACCTGAACAGCTACGCCTTCTTCATGCATGTCCTCATTTTTTTATCTATTTTACTGAAGCTATTTTTCATAAAAATATATAGCTTGGTAGATAGCTAGCGATGTACTTAATACCAGGCGCCACATCCTGTTCTGAAAAGTGAAGCCAATACTGAAGTGCCCTAAAGCTGCATTCTCTCTAGTGTCCATCAGGGGGCGACTCCTCTGGTTGTATAGAAGTCTATGAGAAAATGACTCTACTTCTCTCTTGATTTATTACCTCAGGAAACATTGTAAACATGAGTTTATGGTCTCAATCTCTAGTTTCAAGTTTTCTTCAATACAGCATGATGTTCATTTAGTAAATGATGGTCCATTTAGAGTCAAACAGACTATAAAGCAGGGGATGCTTTAGGGCGGGGCTACCTTCTGATTGACAGGTCGCTGCTTCTACCAGAGCCGTATACGGTGTCTCTGCGTTACTCCTCTAAAATTCCAAATACGTTCCCTTTCCTTCACTGGTTGCAAAAATCCAAGAAGTCGACATCCAAAATTCGCAAAACACAAAGTATGGTAATCAAACTGTGCCGGCATTTAGTCAGCCACTACACTGTTCCTGAAAACTGAATGCACGGCTTGTTGAACATTCCGTGTTTTGGCTTACATCTGCTGTCCTTGGTGCTGAAGATGCAGCAATGTCTGCTGACGCGTCGGACCCCGCCGCTGCTCAGCTGATGCGTCTCAAGACTGATGCTGTCAAGTCTCTCACTTGCCTAAGCACACCCTGTCACTCTTCATGAGGCAGCATCTTAAGCATTTCCACTCCTGACTAGGGATGCAAATTTTACTCTTGATATGCTTAACAAGCCGCCCAGCAGCAACGATAACCTGATCCACACACAGGTTAAATCCTTCATTCATCACCAGCGTATGAGCAGAGTCCCCAGGTCTCCCGTCTGGGAGAGTTAGCAGCCACCATGTTACATGTCTCGTACACTTTCCCTGTGACTCTCCTCTGCATCAAATAGTTTAGCTGCAAGGTTGTCAGCTGTGTGTCTGCCTGGAACACTGTCGGGGTTTCCACCAGCGTAACGTCAGCTAGTGGTTGGTCAAGAGAGAGAGAGCGTGAGTGATGATGAGTATGAAGTTAGCAGTGACGATACACCTGTGAACATAGCAGTGCACTTTATTTGTCGGAGAATAAATGCTACAATTACTCAACACGCAGGCCAAGTTCCCGTGTCTTTCTCGCCACTTGCTGATTAATGTGAAGGGGCTTAACCTGAAGCTAGCGGCAACCACGACCAAGGCTCACTCCTGTCAGGTGGACCAGCTGTTCTCCTTTGAGTTTTGCTCACCTTTTTTTTCTTTTAATTGTTTAACTGATGGCATTAATTGTTCATAATTGTTTTTGTCAGTTTAACGGTTATTTTTTACATGCCAAGTCTTACATAAACATGTGGCAGTTTTGTGATTGGCAGTTAGAGGCGTCCTTTCAATAACCCGTCTTGATGGTGGAGTGTAGATATGCACCACATCTGTAGGGCTCACGGCACTGTTTCTGTTTGAAAACCCAATACATCACTCTATGTATGTATTGTCACTCTAGGTCTTTAGAGGCCGTCTTCCACGATGACTGAAAATCAATGGAGTTGTTCAGCCAGTCCTAAAAGAGGCCCTCCATGTGAACCAGTGGGCCTCTGTGGTCTTGTAGTACAGCTTTATCATAAACCTCCACACCAACCTTTGCCTTTCCAGCTGTTTTCACTTTTGATGAATAACAGCAGACACTCAACGGCAGTTTCACTATTCTCTAACCCTGTCACAGAGCTGTTGCACTTTTCCATCATCTTGACCTCATCTTGCTCAGAACATGCCGTATAAAGCTTGATGATCATATGAGCTTAGCATGGGATTCATTAGTAGAACAGGCTTAATGTCAGAGCCAAAGGCCCTCCGGAAAGTTCAACGAGGATTCCCTTTCTTTGGATGGTTCACAGAAAATCTTTGTAACTTAGAAGGTGGGACAAACACTTTTTTGATAGGTGCAAAGAAACAAACTATTCAATCAACTCCAAACCAAAAAAGCTCCTTTGTATTGTTTTATCCATCAGGTCTGCCTGTATATACGTACAGTAGCTAGCTGCCCACTGCTGCTGAGCAGCACTCCAGTCAGTGAACCTTTGTGCACCATTGCTTTCACGTGGTTTGTGTTGACTGTAAGGGAAGAGACCTCTCTTGTTCAGAGTAAGTCTCCTTACTCCTTAAAAGTAAGTTTCCTTTTTGTCGCCTTTCATCCACCTGACTTCCACTTTTTAAGTCTTAAAGAAGATTTCCTTTTTCTGGTGAGTTCAAAATTCAAAATGGTTCTATTGAAACTTTTATGAGCTGTTCATGGTCTTTGCTGGTCTAGCTCTAGATGTAATCATTCCCATTTTAGCCCTAGTGGCAAAGTAACCAATACCATGTAATGTATGTAATGTAATACCAAAATCCATTTTGGGCCTCCTCGCTTATTCCCTTCAACCAGGTGCCCTCAATAGTCTGTGCACAAAGTACTGCCTGTTGTTAAAGGTACATTGTTTAGCAGTATGTGGCAAGTACATTTTTATTGTCCATATTGATGATGGTGCTACTGTTCTTTAGCTCATATGAACATTATATTAGTGGGATCCAACTGCATAGATACGATTTTATCTTTGGTGTCTGTGTGGGAGAATCCAATGTTACCACATGGTATTTATAGAGAACGCTGGAGAATGGAGTACGGGCCTAAATTATGCAGCAGCAGACTGTCAGGTGGAGTTAAGGACAATGGGTTGCATGTTAAAATATGGATAATTGTGTGTGTGTGTGTGTGTGAGAAAGAAAGAGAACACTAGTAAATGTGCATGTTTGAGGTGAGTAATGACCTAACTGTGTGTATGGTGTTGGCAAGCTGTGTGAGTGTGAAGTCAGCGTTGACATCTTATTTACATCTGCACTGGAATGTAAAAGGGCCTTTGGAGCCACTGACATCCTTAACTAGCTCCACATCATGTCAGGCAAATTGCACCAGAACTGGCTCAGTACCATAGGATGAGGGTCAATGTCACAGACCATGTGGGTCTACTTTTTATATATTCTTCAGCTGACGTCTGGAGGCCGTGCTCATATGGATCAAGAGCTGCACTCGATGAAGCTTCCACGGCTGCACAGAAACGTGTGCAGAAAGACCTTGAGTCTCGCACAAAATCCTTCCCATTCACTGCGTACGGTGTCTCATAGCAACTCTCTCACACACAGCACAAAGTGGTAGGGAGCTGTCCTCACAGGGGATTGGATTGTTCCCATGAGTACTCTCTATCGCTGCATTATTGATCGGTATGACCAAGCCAGCAGCCCTCAGGTGTTACCTCTTCTTTAACAGTGTGTGTGTAGAGCCGTATCAGTGTCTCTCAGCAGACATCATGGGGCTGACTGGTTGTCTGGAACAGCTTTCTAGAGACTGTTATTGGAACAAAAAGCAGCAACACCTGTCTGTAATTTCACTAAGCCTGATTACTTTTACCTGTAGCCTTGCAACACCCAGGACTCCATCTAGTTCCTGGAGACATACATGTATAGGCATAATACTCAGAGTTCTGCCTGTACTTCCAACAATACTTCCCTTTTTGGTTCTCGATGTTGTCACAGAACAGATACATTTCATAGCTTACTTTCAGAGAATACAAAACGAGCAAATGCATTATTGCTTCATTTTGTCTTTGTTTTGGCTAACTTGACATAATCTTGTCATGGCTAAACGTTACCTAAATCCCTAAAACTCTGCAAGACTTTTACAATAAACTGCTGGTGGAGAAGGAGGAAAATGTGTTGCATACAGTTAGCGGTAGAGGAATACATCTCAACAATAGTGTTGTGGCTCTGTTGATGCCAAGGTTGGTCGGTTTGTTGGTTTATGACCAAATATCTATCTATAACTAATCACATTCCCATCAGCCTCAGCTGTGCTTGTGTTATTATGACTGCTGAGCATCACCATGTTAGCATCTTTATTGTGATTTGATATTCTATGCAGGTCACTGTTTCAAAGCGATATTCTGAGTAATATTGTACCAACGAGATGAGTTTGTAGAGAATAAGCCGTGTTTGAATGAGTGCTAGAAACCTGTTTGATCTGAGCTTGTGGATGTCAGGGTTGGAAATCTTTGTGCTGCTGTACCGGAGCGGGTCAGGGCTGGTACCTGAGACCTCAGCACTCTACTGATGGAATACAGGAAACTAAGAATAAGGGACTTTCTAACGGCTGCTTGCTTTAGTCTCGCCCTTGACCCTTCATGTGTCGAGTGTTTCCACATGCCCATTCCTCGGCTGCTCTTCCTTCCTCGGTTGCCCTGTGGAATAATGAGTGGACAGCGTTACCTCAAAGGTCACTGAGTTGATCTGCCAGGGGCTCTCCATCAGAGAACCTCGTCTCTGACTGCACATGTGAGCTGCATGTACTCGTATGTACAGCTATCCATGAACCTGTGCATGTGCATCAAGACATGTATTTTCCTGAAAGGTCATTTGCATTTAGAGCTTCCTTCCATTTTGTGATAGATGGCCATGTTCAAAGACCAAACGGTAAACGGCTGCTGGCCCTCGCTGCATGGAGCCCCAGGAAAAAACATATTAACCACATGTGTGAACACGTCTAGGCATAAGGTCAGGCATCGGCTCTTGTCATTGTGTTTCTCATCATGGGTTGTACGCCGAAACTGTGTCTTGTTACTGGATCTTGTCTCGTTTTCAAGCAGAGTCAAGCGGCCGCTGATCTAACCATGTTTACCACACATCTGTGACCTTGAAACATTCCCTCTCAGCTGGGGACCGTCACCCACCACACTGAATGTAATTCAGGGAGCAGAGGGAGTGGGGGGTTGGGTGCGTGGAACATTAAACAGGAAGAGATGGGAAGTAGCGACAAAGATGGAATGAAGATGAAGAGTGGGAGATGAGGAGGGAAGAGAGAGATTAAAGTGGTCCCCAAACTCTCCTCCCCTGGTAAACAGCAAATCAGCAGGCACCATAATAACTAATCCACTCCCTCCACCAGCAGAGCTGCGACTCTACAGCACTCACTGCATACTGATGGCCCGGCCCTGGCGACTGTTGCTAGGAAGTGGATTGGAGGGGCAGGGGACCTGGGTGTAGATGACATCAGAAAGACTAAAGCACCCTTAATAAACAGCTGCTCAGGGATGGAGAGAGGTTGATCACTGTCCTTTGAGAGGAATCAGTATGCTGTGCATTGCATGTGCTTCATTCCATACATTGTAGAGGGAGTGAACAGATTCATGAGAGAGACACTGATAAAAGATACGAGCCCTCCTTTTCTATCAAGGGATGGCCCAATAACCAGCAAGGCTCTACGCAGCAGTTACTATTGCATTTATGGTAAACGGATTAACATCTGGATCACCATCAGACCAAACTTGAGCATTTCAAAACTAAAATAACTGATAACATGGAGGTTTTGGTTCCTTGCTTTATTTACAGCAAATAATAATCACAGCGTAGCCGGACACGCCCATCCTAACATGGCTACTTTCTGAAGAGGTGTTGAGAAATGGGACCACGTATCCAATAGCTGTTGAGGACCACAGTGGTTAGCCGCCCGACAGACATTCCTAGAGCCACACCGCTAGTGGTCATGATCATGTGAAGCTCAACAGTTTGGACATGAAGGGAGTGTTCTTCTTGTTTTATTCATGTCAATATTTGACCACTGGAATGTTTCTGCAGTCTGTTTTCATCTGCCACAGACTCTGACTCAGCTCAAAACCTGATTGGAGTCTTGAAGCCTTTGGACAATCACTAATTATGTGCGCAAGTTGAAACATTTGAAAATGGCACAGACGCATCTTTTTCAAAATGTTACACTCCCAGAGCAAATGTGTCTTTATCTGTGTAACAACACACAGTTTGAGAAGCAACCAATACCAATAGAGGATAATATACCATGAGCATAAAACAAGCTTTAAATAAATCTGCTATAAATGACTTGTGAAGGCTTGTCACAACCCTTCACTACATACCTATACGAGTGTATATATGTCCCTGTGGTTGAACACTGTTGTGCCATGTGTTTGCAGGTGATCCACAAACACTTCTACCTGAAGCGAACAGAGATCATGTCTCAGTGCGAGGAGTGGATCGCTGACATCCAACAGTACAGCAGCGACAAGAGGGTAGGCCGCACCATGTCCCACCATGCCGCTGCACTGAAGGTAATGGCATTAAATGTACCCGCGTAACGTATTGACAAAGCACCGTCGGTATTCTGGGCTGGGAGCGCACATTTCAACTCTAATTAACAGCGAACTGTCTGTAAGGGACAGCGGGCTCTCGACAGGCCGCCTTGTATCATGTTCCCAGCTGACAAACACAGGAGCTCATGACACACACACACACCAACACAATAACCAGTCTCTTCGGCAGCTCTCATCTCTTCTCCCTCTGCCAGTAAATAAACTCAACTAATCCCCACTGTAAATAATCCGGCTCCACTGATAACAGCTAGCTGCTGTCCCACAACTGCCTCTTCTCATTTAGCTTCCTTGTTTGAGTGTAAAGTAATGTTGCTTTATCCCCATTCTGCATGTTCTTCAGTCTATGCTGCGGGTCAGCAGAGATGTTTTCCTATTTTTATCGACATTGTTTTTTGGCATTTTGCCTTTTTGTGTGAGTTGACATTTTGAATGAAAGTATTTTTAGACATCAGTCAAGGTCACACACACTTTGCAGGAGGTGGGATCTTCACTTGAGTCTCTTGTATGGAGGTCCTGGTCACACTCTCACGTGAAGCTGCTCAGTGCAACCAGTTTGAGCTGACAGCCAGTAAGCAGCTCCAGCAGACTGTGCTAACTGATATACATATTTGGATGAGTATTATCTCATTTTTGAGGAAAAGTCTGTTGAGATTTTATATTTTTCTTATAGTTAACGGATCCCATGACAACACACACTGACAGGTATGGTGTGTGAATCAAAGCCTGAAACATCTCATTCCTCTGTGACCTAAAGACCCAATGTTGTCCACAAACTTATGAAGACTAACACCCCCTCAGACAGACACTGAGAGACAGGTCAGAGTCCTCCGGCTTTAATGAGCTGAACCTTGAGTGAACAAATGAAAAATGAAAAGAAGAGAAGAGAGTAAATATAGCATGTGTTGAGTAGACCCACGTCATACACACATCTGCTGTCTGAAATGGTGCAAGGGTCTACAGATGTATGCTAGTGTCAGCATGCTAACATGCTCACCATGACGAGGTTAACATGCTGATGTTTAGCAGGTTTATGGTTAACCACGTTCAACATGTTAGTTTAGCATGATGACACGCTAACATGAAAAGAGGCACAGAGTACAAGGCTGTCATTAGTTCTGCAGGTTTTCAGTACAAGCTTTACTTTGGGGACAGTGAATGTGTGTCAATAGACTTCACTCTTACACTGGATGAACACACACACTGTAGTTAACTACTACTTAATCCCACATTCATCATCCTGCTGCTGCCCAAAATGCTAGCAGGGCACAAATGTCTGGACTTGCATAGGCATTCTCTTCTGGCCCCAAGTATCTTTAGGGTCCCTCCTCACATGAGGGCCATGTCCCCTTCCCCCCCAGTCCTACACCCCTGCTACTTTGAAATGTGCGTTAATCTGCTGCTGAAAATAGTCCCACCAAATGCAGCCGTTTTAGGAAATCAGAGCCTTTTTTTAAAACTAACTTATTTGTGAGATTTTCCTAAAGTTTTAACTCTTTAGTGGGAACAAGTGGCTTTGGGGCTGAGAACCACAGAGACACATTCATGGGATTTGTTGACAATAAGAAAAATATAGAATAAGCAGATTTAACAACATGTTAATCTCTAAAAAATGTGTTCTATTCCTTTAATGTTTGCTGTAAAGTTAAGCCCGCCCCTGGTGTGTGTTGTCCCTGCAGAGACACACAGCTCAGCTCAGAGAGGAGCTTCTGAAGCTGCCCTGCCCCGACGGTCTGGAGCCCGACAGCAACGAGTTCTCTGAGAGGAGCGCCGCCCTCCTCCTCAAAGAGCTGTCCAGTCAGGACGCAGAGAAGCCCGGTGGCAGTCAGGACGGCCACTGTGGCGAGGGACAGCTATGAGTCTTCACCCTCCCGCCCTCTCCCTTCCCTCCCCCCTCCTCCCTCCTCCTCCTCATGATGATGATTATTACTCTCGAAAAGACTTGATGGCTTCAGAGCACAAGCCACCACTTTGTCAATATTTGTATGTAAAGATCTACTAGCAGAATAGCAGGGGATGTGGGGAACCAGAACACGATGACGAGAACAATGGAGTATGCTTCGCCCTTATTGAAAACTTTTATTTACCTGTAAAAGACTGTAAACATTTTGTGCTTTTTTCCAATTGTGAAATAACCACTGATTGGTATGTTATTAAACTTGTTTATGTATACATAATGGCAGAGAGAAAAAATCAGATTATATAAGGGAAACTACCTTTAGAGAAGAATGTTTACTGAATGTTAATTTCCTTTTCTTTTTTTTCTTTTCTTTGACTTTTTTTGAGAACAGTTGTAACCAAGGATATTGGTCATTCTTTAAAGTTACTAAAAGAAAACGCACACGTAACAGAACCTGAGATAAAAAGCCCCTCTGGTCATCATTGCTTCATTTGATTTCTCTCGGATCATATCCACTTGAATAAATGCTGAGATGACGTTCTTAATTGCTATGTTATCTCTTTTACAGGCTCCAAATTAAAAAGCACCATGCTCTGGATAAACATGTGTTGCCTCACACAACTTCTCCATGACCGCTTTCCATCGACATGACTGTAGATCATAAGAGTGTCAGAGCCACATGGGAAATTAGTTTTGAAGGCTTGTGCATGTGTATGTGTGTTTCCTGTGCAACAATCCCCAGTGAGATACAAAGCTGTGATGTGCCTTTGATCTACACCACGCCACCAAATACTCCAACAGAGTACCTTTACTGATTCCTTTGCTATTTCTACAAAATTTATAATTCTGCTCCGTCTGATATAAAAAAATTGCTTTGATCTTTTCTTTTTTTATGTTGAACTTCAGTGAACAAATGCACTTTCTATTTTAGTCACTCCTTAGAACAGTCACATTCTCCTTTTGCTAAGACATTAAATGGAGCTTGAAAGTATGGATTGATTGTGCGAATGCTTCTTTCTGCGTGTGACAGGACGTCAGCCCCGTCACCTCGACGAGAGACGGACCACACCTGAGCAAAGATGTCAGTCAGAGAACTAGTTGTTGCAATATCGATGACTCGTCAGTGACACACGGGATACTTTGTGAATACTCTGTTGGTTGAGAGGTTGAAAGAAAAAACATGCAGGGGTATAATCTTCATCCATGTCATTGTCAGTGCATTCTAGTTTTCTTTTATGAAAGTATTGGGACTAATTTGTTGGGTGTGTTCATCTGCCTTTTCTGCTATTTCCTTCTCCATGCATCTTGGAAGTAGGTGAACCCTCAGCTCTGCTTTTTCTGCTCTTTCAGGGTTACTTTATTTTCTGAATGTCTTTGACAACCTCAACTTCTTAAATTCAGCTGATAAAGGCCATAAAATCTTAAAATGTGAAAACATTTTTTAGTAACCCCAAACATTCACATCTAAATAAGCAACATGGAAGTTAAAATGTGTAACATCTTTATGTATTATTTATGTAGACAGCCATGCTCGCTAACTTTGGCCGAAAATCTTGCGTGTTAATGTCGGCACATTAATACTCATCGGTACAAAAAGCTCATGAGATAATGGGATTGCAGGGCCTGTTATTGTATGCGGATGGTGGCAGTTTAGGTTGAAGAAAAGAGTCACTTCCACACCCAAATCCCTGAGAAATAAACAATTCACTCCAAATGAATTGCAAATTTGTTTTTTGACCTGCATTTGTAAATATTTATAGAAAGCAGACGGGTTTAAAGGCCATGATAGTTGTAAAACATCCCATTCTATAAATGAGTACCTGTAATTTAGCACTGAAGTTAATTTTACTACAAGCAACTTTAGTTTTGTGTCGAGTTTGGCGTTCCCTGTGGACCAAAGCTGTAGTGTTTTTTAGCACCAGTTTCCTCTTAGAAAAGCCCATTTTACTGCAGCAGGTCTGGTTCTCCCGTGCCGCCCTTCCCTCCAGTGGGCCCAGTAATACGGCCTGGGCCTCCAGCGGAGTGGTGTCAGTGTTGGCTCCCAGCGGGGACTGGAGGAGCAGCGAGGTGAAGCTCTGCTCCTGGCCGGAGGAGGAGGTGCTGCTGCATGGAGTTCTCTTCCTGCCGGATCTGGGTCTGTCCACAGTGGGCTGGTCACTGCTGGAGTCTGAGCTGAAGGTGAACCTGCATGATGTCGCCGGCACCGATGACCAGCATTAAGAATAACTATATAATTTAGCGCTTACTGATGGTCTCGTTTAGATTACTTATGCAGGTTTTTTTTTTTTTAGATGCATCAGTAATATTTTGACTGTTTCAGTTGAAAACTTTAAAAGTTGAGTATACATGATGCCTTACCTCTGTGCATTTCAGCTACTAAGGTGGAAAAACATGGACGCCTGCAGCAAAAAGGCCCATCTAGCGTCAAAAGTATCAGAAGAAATCCAAATTGGGAAGACTGAATGTGATCTGAGCTGTTTAAGAACACCTGGACTATATTCTACTGGAGCTTTCAACAGCATCACAGTCTTGAGTGGATAAAGTTTGCTCAGGTGTAATATGATCTAATTTACTTACTCCCCTGGCGTCAAATTCCAAATACTGTTTGCAATTTGTTTAAGTATATGTGAAAAAAAGATGTAATTAATGTTCCAAATCATACACGTATTAGTGTTAGAAGTTGTAACGCATGACAAAACCAAGTCTGAGCAGTTTCAAGATCCAGTCCAGACCGACTCAATAACTCAAGACCTGCTGTCTTACTGTTTATAGTTGTGATAGAAATTCAATCACTCAGTACAGTTTAAAATGTGGTAGGGACAGGAAACAACATGAATACTAAATGCTTATTTGCTAAAAGAATGATGTAGAATATGTATTAGAAGTATCTGCATCAAACTAATCATCCAGAATTAGGTTACTTACACGCAAAACACTCACTAACATAAGCATTACTTTAACTTATAAATGGTCAGACAGAACACTGCATGTGATGGAAAGAATTTTGTGACCAGATGGGAAACTGACTGCAGAACTCCAGCCTCCCAGGGAGCAGAATGAAAGCGGTGGGAAAAAGACGACCAAACACTTAAAAGAGGAGAGAGGAAAGCAGGGTAAGAGCAAGCAGAAGGAAGTGGATAGTGATAAGGTTTTCACATCACATGAATGCTAGTGACATGAGCATGTACAATAAGACTGAAGAAATAGTAATCCCAGAGAAGGGCCTATAAAAAAATGAACGAAAAGAGAACGGACAAAAAGTAACATATGAAGTAGACCCCGGTTGTGGATATACCATAATGTCTAGGAGGGAATTTTACAAGTTATTCCATGGTACACAGGCTTGCTAAGTGTTGCTTCAAACTGAGCACATACGGTGGCCATAGATTGCCGTGTTAGGAACCGCCAGGGTAAGAGTGGAACACAAAGGCATCGCTAAGATGTTAGCAGTTGTGATTGTTAAAGGTTCAGGGACAAGTCTCGTGGGATGAGGCTGGATTAAGGCTCTGAAATTAGATTGGCAATCTATACATATAGTAGAGGACAGAGAACACCCTCTATAGGAAGTGCTTTCGAGACATGAAAGACTTCACAGCAAAAATACAGGTAGCCAGTGATGCCACACCCTGCTTCTATGAGCTAAGGTCAGTGCCTTTTGCAATGAAGAGGAAATTCACTAGCATGGAACACACCATAATAAGGATAGTTAAGTGATATTAATATAAGAGCAACTACTGAATAATGTAAACGAGTAATGGTAGTAAAAGAGGATGAGGGTGGAGGTCATGTGATCAGGGTAGTCTGGGTGTCTGATGTAGGTGGCAGGGGAGAAGGAGACTCAGGATGGGGGTTCTGTCTTGGGTTTGATGTTAGGCCGAGCCAGCTACAGACACCCAAAAGATTGGGCAGAGCTGAGGTGAGGCTTGACGGAGGTCGCTGAGACTATTTCAGATGTCGGCTTGGTATTGCTGGTAGGACCAGTGACCTAGGACTCGAATTGTCTGGTCGGAGATGCCTAGTCTGGCTGCCGTGGAAGCTGCTCCAATGCGGAAGGAATGTATTGAATAGTGTTCGGGAGATATGCCGGAGGTGTCAAAATTTGATGGAAACGCTTGTTAAACCAGAAGCGGGTGGCCATTTTCCCGTTTTCAGTGAGAAAGAGTGGAACTTGAGGAGAGGCGTGCACTGCATACCTGGCGTGGATGTATTTAGAAAGCAGCTCAAAAGGAGTCAAGACAGAAGATGTAGATGGGAATTTACATTCCTAGCTGGTTAGTTTTACTTCTCCGGCGAATTAATACAAGAGAGTCTGGGGTGTGAACGGTGATGTCAGACAGACTGGGATGGAGGGATAGCTTATAAATGGAGGAAGCTGAAGTGAATTCTCAGCACCGGCGGAAGCTGAAAAAAGCCAGCAGAAACATGGATTCCAAAGTTAGGTTGACTGAGTGGGATGAGTAGCCTGACGAAGTAAGAGAATGCAGAGGCTGAGTAGGTCGGATGTTAGTGGCAAGCGTTTAGCAGATAGGATAGGTTTGTGTTTGTGTAAGCCTTAATTGCTCATTGCATGGAGAAGTCTGGAGCTGGGATAATGCTATTGATGTTTGGAATGTGTGTGCCGTGGGGAGAAGACAGGTCGATGAAGATTCTCTTTTTACCCGAGTATTTCCGAGTGGCGATACTGATGGGGCTGCAGACTACTGGGAAAGGTGGGTTGGTAAATGGGCCTATCATGAACCCCTCTTTGACCTCTTTGGCTAGTAAGGTGTCAACAGTGTCAGGTTCAGAAAGAGCAGACTGAAGACTGAAAAGTGTCAGGAATAATTTCTTTGCCCGGGTGGAAACCGTGGGTGAACCTGTTTAACAGAAAGTTGACGAACTCCCTATCAGGCTTGTTTTGTAGCGCAGTGGCTAGAGCCTTTACCTTGGCAGGTGTGCCGGGGTACCGTGCTAGTCAGTCTGCCTGTATGGTAGGATTATGGGGCCAGGTGTTTCTTGTGTGAGCGCCACCGCAGAAAGAGCAGACGTGCAGGAGTCTGCAGTTGGAAAGAGAGCAGCCGAGATGGTTAAAGTTCTTGCACACCATCCTGCCTCCATGGTAGAGGATCGGCCGCCCTCGTTTGTCAACGCCCTAGGGGATGGGAGCATTGAACGAAGTACATATGTCGACGGGCTTAGGGATGATGGGAGGAGGAGGTGCGTGAGCTGAGAGGAGCAAGGGAAGTGCATGTTGAGACTGGATGTGAGGGAGCCCCACATTGCTGAGATGTACGGTCTGCGAAAATGCAGCAGTAAAGCTCTGAGACAAAGGTGCCCTAATAAGTCCCCTGATTAAACTGTTGCAAGCGCCCTGCTGCCTTGGTAGTGAAGAGAACATCCATCCATCCATCCATCCATTTTCCTCCGCTTATCCGGGGTCAGGTCGCGGTGGCAACAGGCCAAGCAGGCTGACCCAGACTTCCCTCTCACCGGCAACATGTTCCAGCTCATTCTGGGGGATCCCGAAGCGTTCCCAGGCCAGCTGGGAGATGTAATCCCTCCAGCATGTTCTGGGTCTTCCCCGGGGTCTCTTCCCAGTTGGACGTGCCTGGAAAACCTCCAGTGGGAGGCGTCCAGGAGGCATCCTAATTAGATGCCCGAACCACCTCAGCTGACTCCTTTTGACGCGAAGGAGTAGCGGCTCGACTCCAAGCTCCCTCCTGATGACCGAGCTCCTTACCCTATCTCTAAGGCTGAGCCCGGCCACCCTACGGAGGAA